CAGCAAAATGGCTGCGGCTGAATGACGCAACTGACTTCAGGACATTTTTTGAAGCCTGAGTAACTTTAGACACTTTTTGACAACCCATTTCTTCCTCTTGTGAAATCCCTAACCATCAGGTTCTGCCTGGTGACACTTTGGCCAGCATTGCAGCCCATTTCGACAGCACTCCTTCAGAGTTGGCCAGCTTTAACCGCCTGGTGTGTCGGACCCTCTTCATCGATCAGCTCCTCTCCATCCCCATCCTCTCCACGGTTAAGCAGGAAGAAGGCACTACAGGTATTTCGACATGGAAACATGCATATTTGGCCTAGTTATTCACATCTGTATGCATTAGAAGTCATTTATGCAACACGTAATACATATTATCAAAAGAATAACCTCTTGTTGTCATAACAAGCAGTTTAGTTGGAAGTGATTTGGGCTTACATGAAAAAAACGGCTGCATAAATTTCGACCTAAAAAACGTTTACTTTGATTAATTATTCAGTTTACCAGTTTATGCATACAATTATAACCTCACACGGAAATATGAAAATGGGACAAATCAACTAAAGACAGGAAAGAATAGAGAATGGTGTATGTGTGTGTATGTATGGTTGTGTGTGTGTGTGTGTGCATGTGAATGTAATCAGTGCAGCTTAAGATATAAGGAGTAGGGAAGGTGGGAAAGATTTGCCGTTCGGACGAGACGCTACTCGAGCAAGATTAACCCGAAATAGATTTCGGTTTATCCAAAAAGCTTGGAATCCCGCGAAATGAGTGTTTTGCAAGGCCATCGCAACTGCCGGAAACCAGATTACGTTACCAAGAGGCACTTGATTCACACAGTCTAGACTAAAGAAGCTATCAAATAAAACAAGATTTTAGAGCTGCATATAAATTAGTTCAGAGTTCACGCAGAAGCTGCCGAAAAGTAATTAAATGTTATTATAGGTTGTTGTTTTTAGGTCCTGTCGCAGACAATAATGCTCTACGATGACTGAATTTCCTAATTGTTGAGCTTACTTCCATTTTGAGTGAAAGTGTTTGGTGAAGAGATGCGAAAGTAGATTCCACAAGAAAATGAGAATGAATTCCTTCTAACCAGCTGTCGATTGGCTTTGCTGGAACATTCTTGGTGAAGCTATTTCAGAGGTAATCTGGTTCAATTTTAGTGAAAATGTGTTAAGCTTTAGTAGTTGGTTTGACGGACAGCATCAGAGCAACCATATTCAAGCTAATGGGTCAAGAATACTCACCGACTCATGCCTAAAAAGCCGGCTCTATATCTGACCTCTTTGATGAGGTATAAAGTAGTTTGGTTAGTTTCAATCATTTTCCAACTTCGAAGCATGCGAATGCGTCTGTCTGTGTATGCGTTTGCATGGATACAAAAGCAGCAATGATGGATCAAACCAATTAGAAGAGAAAAATTAACTTCTTTTCTCTGCAATCAAGGTTTAATGATCACCGTCACCCTCTCTCTGTACATATATTTAAACCATCACTCCGATTGCTCAAGGTCGGACACATGTCCGGTTATGTTAATGAATTTTTGTTTTCATGTAAGGCAGTAGGAAGGGGCTAAACGTGCAGAGAAGTAAATGTGATTAGAACCAATACAAGGATAGTTTCTAAAAGAAGGAAACACTAGTTTAGTTGCCTCCTTTTTGCAGGCGGCTCAGCAACCTTTGTATCCTTGAGTCTACAAATTGTACAAGAAAGTTTTATTACATTTCTTGCAAATATTTGCTACATTCAATGCATTGCCTATTCGGTTTATGAGCTGTATTCATCCACTTTTGTTTAAAGGTATGAAAGATTGGTAGTTGAATTTGTTCACGATGATAAGAGCAGAGCGGAAACTTTCATTGAATTTTGCATAGCCTTGCTTTCCCAAACGGTGTTATCATCCAGGCAGGAGTGGACTGCAGTTTCGACGACTCCTAGGTCTTATTAACACTGTCGAGCTTACTTCTATTTCAAGTGAAAGTGTCGGGTGAAGAGATTCGAAGGTCGGTTCCACCAGAAGGCGACGGCTGATTCCTCTCAACCAGCTGTCGATTAGCTTTACTGGTAGATTCATGCTGACGCTGTTTCCGAGGTAATCTCCTTCGATTCCGGTTAAGAGGTTCTAAGATTTCATCCGTCATATTAAGAATAGAGTCATAGCATGGTATCATAGTCACAACAAAATTCAAGCTAACGAGTCAAGAAAACTCACCGGCAAATCCCTAAAATTAAGCAAATAGCCAACATATGTTGGCTTCCTATAAACATCTCTTCCTAACCTAAACTCTTCTTTAAAATGATGAGAACATCCAGAAATGGTAAGGACTTATTCTCTTCCATTTCCATCGTGAACGTAATGTTCTTTTCACGCTGGTTAAGTGAAAGTAGGAAACTATCTAAACTGTCCATACCATGAGGGCAGATGACAAAATAGTCATCCATGTATCTAACCAACAATTCAGGTGTTAATATTGCCTCTGGTAGGAAGTGTTCCTCAAATTTTGCCATATAATTATTCGCTAAGATGGAAGACAGGCAAGATCCTATCGCTAATCCTTGCCTTTGTCCGTATAATTTACCTTTAAAGGTAAAATATGTGGTACTCATGGATAGGTTAATAAGTCTACTAATGGAGGCTACAATTAGCCTTATTCTTTGTGTTATCTCTGGATGATCCTCTAGAGTTTGTATTAGAGCTTTAATAGCTACTTGCACAAGAATGTTCGCGAAAATAAGCACAACATCACAAATTACTAGCCAATTGTCTTCTGAAATTTTCTGTTGATATAGCAATTTCACAAAATAATAGGAATTTCAACTGAATATAGCCACTAATTGGCACAGTTCCTTAGTTATATGCATACAAAAAATGAGATTGCATGCATAACGTTTCCTTTATTATTCACAATTAATCTTAGAGGGACATCCTCTTTGTAAACCTTATGGGGACCATAAGCCGTGGGGACCATTGCATCTCTCTGGAATAGTAAATTAATTTCCACTACTCCATTTCACCGTTACTTACGCATACATTAACGGCATCCTTTAGCCTATTCTTAAATCTTTCTGTTGGGTCTCTTAGTAAAGGCCTATACGTGTCATTGCCATTTAAATGAGCTAACAATTTTTCTTTATAACTTGACTTATCAATGACTACCACTGCTCCACTTTTGTCGGC